CTGGAGAGGTGTCGACGAAGATTTGCTCAACTAAAAGTGTCGACAGAAAAATGAGCTGACTGTAACAGTGTCCACACCAGTTCTCCTTTGCCAAACAGCGGATTTTTCATGCGGAGCACCTCTTTTCACCCGGGCTCAGAATGAAGCTACTGGCCAGTCACGACTCACCTCACTCTCGAATCACTTCAGGCACCTTGAATTGTCAACACTTCAGCTCCAACTCATGTACAACGACAGTTCGTAATTTTCCGACACTTTTCCAGTCAGACAACTTTTTCGTCGACACTTTTCCACTCAATGAAATTCGATACTTTTTCACATACCAAGCTGACACTTTTCAGGGCACTCTGCAATAATAGATATTACAATTTAAACATATGCTCATTCATGAAATACATCTCTTCGTTCTTATTTCAGTCGTCTGTCTTCCTTTCTATGTGATGCTCATTCTATAGGAACAATCGTTCGTTCATAATAAGATAAAACATAAATTCGCATTTGCGTCTAGACAACTTCATCCATAAATTTGATTCAGTGCGGTTATTTGTGAAGCAGAAGAAACAGCTTGAATTTTTTATTGAACGTTTCAGATCTCAGACGATACTGTTTGGAACAGAAGGAGGAAAAGATCTTTGGTAGTTCCGGTATGTTTTGGAAATGATACTCTTGAAAATACGATCTATCGAAAGGAAGCAGCTGGACGGTTGCAATAAGCAACGTATCCGCAGATGACTACACTTTCTGCATTGTTACTTTCAATTCGTTGAAAGTGCTATAGTGTGACTGAGTGCATTATGCGTTCCACATCTTCACCAAATTCTTTCGATCGATTTAAGGGGTAGACAGACAGATAAATGCTGCACAGCAACACACCAAAAAATCAATGGTGTATTTTAATAGAAGAGTTTTTTGAATGGAATGGACTTATCGTCGTCGGTTGTTTGATACACATTTCGTAATACATCAATGTTTTTAGCTCATCAGCTCAACACATGACTCCTCATTTAACCGAGACGGTCACATCAACCCTAAAGCAAACCAGGCAACGAATCCTCATCTTTCGGGATCATCATCCATTTCATCAGGCATTCATTTATCAGCTATCTTTCATTCACAAACAGTGATACTTGTACTCATCACTAAACTGAATGTCGAGCAGTTATTCGGAATGAACGAACTCCGTCCTAATAAACACAATCTTGTATGTGTTGTTAGCGCTGAATAACGCACATTACGAACGAAATCATACATCGTTTGTTATTCTTTTGTCATGCGTAAAGCACATTTATAGCCATGAAATTATCACTGATACTTTTATTATGTGATATGACGGAGAAGCGTGATGCTTGAATTAATACGTACAATTAATTCAAATGGCGCAGTTGACGAATTTTGCTCGAATAAAGAGTCAGAACGTAGGTAATGCTCAGATGGAACGAATACAATAAGGATGAGATGTGATGACAGCTAGGCGTTTTCATCCTAGAAGTGCAAGTTCACTTTAATTCATATTTTAGAAACAACTGCTCGCAAAGGAAAATTGAATGAAGAAGGAGTGGCAGACTTAAACTCTTTGAGAACGCAAAACGAGGTACGTTATGTTTATGAGGCAGGCTGAGAAGGCGGTATGATCTGCTGAAGTGTTCAAACATTTCAATATCTTTGTACCGAGTAGTCAACTCAATCGACGGGAATGAATTAAAGACTTTGAGTATCGAATACGGTAGTATGCAAACTCTATATAGGTGCCGCAGTACATATGAGTGCATTTTAGCCACGTCTGCTCGAATCTGGCTGGAGGTTACGCTCATCCTTATTTTAAAGCTTACGCTTGAGTTTATCTTTAGGCCTGAACTTGTAGGGGACCGCTGTATCCGCGCGAAATTCTCACTTTATTATCGAAAATATTGGCTCGGTATTCACGCATGCGACGAGAACAAGTCTTGTGTTCAAGTCCTATGTTCAAACGTTAATTTAGCCTCTTTTGCGCCTAAGTCTAAGCCTGAACGTGCTTCTAGCAGATGAAGGTAAACTGCATCAAGGAATGTTACTAATCTGCAATCTCTTGGGAATTTTCCATTTGCAGTTGCTTTTGGCTGAGGTACAACGACTAATGTCACTTTTACGAGAGAAGGAGCAGAACGAGCGAGAATTCAAAAGGTTGTTCTTATTTCGACTGATACAGTTCAAATCATACTTTGTTGATCTACTTTCTTTTTCCCTATCGGATACTTTCTGTATTTTGGTTAACTGATTCAGACGTATCTGCTTAAGCTGTTAGAATATGTTTGATTGTTATATGTACTACGGCTACAGTCTAATGTCGATTAGATTCCACAAATGATTCGCATGGAGCAAGGAGGCTCAGTATCGAATGCTGTCATAACTATGCGCATATCAGATAAAGCTGATCAATTTCTTGTTTAACAGGAGAATACTGGAAAGCGAAGCTGAAACAAAACTATGGAAGAAAAAATATGAAATGCAAAAACCACCAGTTATAGAAATGAGGTTCATTTACAAACTCAGTTTTTTCGTTTTCAGTTAACTCAGATATGTTGAGTTGAATTTAGTGCATTGAAGGGAAAAAACATAATATGAAACAACGAAACAAACTAGAATAAGGCTTCAACGTAAACCATGATATAAGTAAGACATTTTGAGAAATAAAAGATATAATGATAAAATAAGTAAAGATGCGGCGCTGTGCATCACTTACATCCAAATATGGTGGAATACTTAAATATGAAGGGAGCATTTTCAAAAAATGTTTAAATTGGTTTATATTGTTCTGGTTGTTTCCCTAAAGTCGTGTTAAAATGCTTTATTGAATTGTTTTCTCAAGGTTTGCTCTAATCCTTCGAGCCGGAATGATTTGATATGAGGATTTCGTTCGTTTTTGAACAGCATCGTTGATGGCTCACTTAAGAATGAATATCTCTTTAGAGAAAACGATGCTGATGTCTCAACGGAACTTATCGATCAACTCGACTCTGCTGCGGAGAAACTTTCACGTCTTAATGCTGTCAATGATCTCAAACTTTTACAGGTTTATCTTCAGTGCTACTTTTGTACTGTAGTTATTGTTCTTCGATAGATATTTCGACAGTTCCATTATAAGCTGATTTTTGATTTTGCAACGAATATTTTCCACTATTGAATTTGAGTTGGACGAGCAAACTCTTTTATTTCTTCACAGATATTATCGGTATATTAAAACATCTTCAGCAACAGAGTATAACATCTTTCATTCATTCATTCAACACATGAATTCAAATGGTTATTCAACTATTCAACAATTCAACAAACTTCAATGAATTTCTCAAACGAAATTGTCATTTATCTAACTACACTGCCTTGCGTTACTCTTAATATTGCAATATTTCAGACTGAAATGGAAACAGCTCTCAATGAAATTCGACGAAAATGATCACAGTACATTGTTGTTGCTTTCTTTAGATTGCTTTCTCAATCATTTTATAACAGTTTGAGTTATCGAACACAGTAACTCGTTCTTCGTTTTCTTTGAATAAAACTTAAACGAATTTCTTCGCTTCATGCGCTATTCTAAAACAATAATTATCCTCTGTAAAATAAAATGAAAACTCAAAACCAGCTTCATAAAGTGTTTCATCCCGGAGGCATATTACGATACAGGTATGAATACATAACCCTTGTCGCCTCTTTATGATGATCAACATGATTCCATCTATTTCCGAATGACTGGCAGAACATCATCTTGGTTTGGAAAGTCGACAATGAGTTGTAAACTGTAATTGATTCACGAATAGTCATGAGTCGTGACTCGTCGTCAATTCCATTTATAATTACAGTAAAAAAGCTGATTTAAACAGACCAATTTCAGATCTCATTTGGACCCATCACTTGCTTACCACAATGTCTAACTCATCCATTAACATAAATTACACTTTGCACGGGTTCCCATGATTCCTGAATTCTGACTTTTGAATCCCGATCTCGAACCTCAGATTCGTGCTTCCGATAATTGATAAAACAAGTCATTTTGTATGAATTTGGCAGTATACCCATCATGAATGAATGAAGCGTAAATCATTCCCAACTCATTCACATGCACTCATATTTGTTGTTTACCAACCACATGGTAATGAAAAGATGATTTGTGACAGACATATCGCTACCTCGGTTTTCGTTTCCACACAATGCTCACCAAGACTTTCATAACATCACTGTTTCTTCATCTTTCATTGTCTTGTATTCCAAGTTCGTATTTATTCTTCGAATTGTGCAAGTTCGTCCGAATATATTAAAAACGTGACGGCAGCAGTGTTCATTCTCGATGCTGGTAATATCTTCCTTTCAAAAAAGACAATGAACCGCGAAATGTGTACTGTGTGGTAAAATGAAAAAAGCAAAAGAATCGTTCACAAAGGAACTACTTGTACATTTAAAGACAAGGCACACCAGAATATTCTGCAACGAAGCAAACGCTCCGGAGACCACAAGAGGCTCGCATATTACCACATTCCTCAAACCTGATCCTGCACCAACTACTATTCCGCTGAATAAAATGATCGCCAAGCTTTGCTCTATTCATAGTTTGAACTTTCAGACCCTTGTGATATGTGAAATTCTTCAAAGTTTTTCAATTCTACAAAACTCCGCTACCTTACTCTGCAAATACTGTTGGGAGTTCGTTAATAGATTATTACAAAACTGCAAAATCAAACATTACTCAAGAGATAAAAGATTCGCTACTGAATTTTGAGAAAGTCATCATAACTCTGGACGAAAATTCATCAATTAAAATTTGAAGAAAATTCACCTAATCACAGATTTTATCTGTCTATAAATAATACCTGTCCTGTATCGTTGGTGTTTTATTTATTGAATCTTTGAGTTTTGCTGAATGATTTGCTGAATAAACTGTTTTATGATTAATTATGAACATGTTCATTCTGGAAGGACGTGTTGAACATATCATACTTCTGTATTTCAGAAGTTGCTTTTTAATCCAGGTATCGTTCCTGGATTCTGCAAACCCTACAGATAAATTATAAAAGAGAATGTGCTCACACATTTATGTCCTCAGTCAGTTGACACTTACAAATGCAACTGTTGAGAGTGGTGCTGTAGTCTGAAAGAGATTAGTAAGTGGGATCTGACGAAAGCGTGAAATTATTTATGTGGGAAGACACCAGTACATAGTACAGCATCAGACGGTTTGGTTACGCAAAGGCAACGCAAAAACAAACTTACTATCGTTTCTCGGTGCCTATTCGTTTTCTTGTTTGGGACTAAACTTTAAACAATCTTTCGTGCAATGCATCCTTGTTCACTTCACTTCCTATTCGTGATCACATTCGCAATGAAATCTATTACGTTTCAGTCGATCTCATCAATTATCAACGGACAAGTTCTCTTAATCTCAAATAAATTATTTATTTACTGCTTGAGTTAAAGCCATATTTTACTTCGCACTAACATATACCCATGGAACCACATAAGGTGACTGGAATTCAAGAAAAATATTCTGTCGAATCGGAAGGGGCTTTTACTTCTCGTTGTAAAATTTAGTTGCATTCTCAAAGGAAAACCTTGATGACTAAATGAATGTTGTTTGGAAGTGCGGCTTCAATTCGAAAAGGAAGCCTATAGTCAAGTTAATGTAATGAACTGTATAAGTACATAACTAAACNCTTGAAAAATATCCTTCTTTCCTCGATTGGGGGAGATTCTTCACTCGAAAGAATTACATACAAGGGTCAACAGCAAACAAAAAGCCACTGATTGTTTGTTGGTCACAGGAAACTGAATTTAAGTGGCTAATGAGTGGAGGTCGGAACGACTCTGTTCGATGGCTATTAGCCGAAACCGAAAGTGCCTCATCGGTCGGTAACAATGGGAAACTGAATTTCGGTGGCCAGAAACTGACCGACGCTCATAACCAATCTTGTCTGTGGCCACCGAAAAAAACTGTCGGTTCCGAATTGCACTTGTGTTTGCTTATTTAGAATGCGACACGTTAAAATGACATTTTAAAAGCTCAAATTTCAATCAGTAGAATGTTTCTTTTCAATTTATCTCTAGCAAACATTGTTTTGTTCATTCATTAGGATGGAAGCCATATTTACATCAGCTCGAATACAAGCATACGTATCCCTCTGTGGGATAAAACGCCACTACTATCACAACTACTTCTGAAGTTCAGGTTTAAGTTTCGTTTTCGACTAATAGTTTTTTTGCTCAAACCAGCTTGCCTGGAAGTTGAGTAATGTCAATTTTGATGGCTTTATGCAACGCTTGCTTAGATTCAGCGTAAAATTAGGTTGAGTAGTGACAATTTTACGTATGCGCCACACATTCATATCAATCGAGCAATTTAACATCGACATTTCAAACAAATATATTTGAGAGGATTGGTTTGTTTATCATATCGGACAGTGAAGTGAGCAAAACAGATAAAACATGATTTTCTTATATCGATTCATTCATCCATATAGGATAGCGTGAAATCAAACGAAAAAGGGCCGCTGCTCCATTCAGCAAAAGAAATCATCATCAACCACCGATCCAATACGGCTGAACGGATAGAGCTAGATAAACTTTCGATGGACGGTACAAGAAGCAGTGAGTTGCAATTACAACGGCACAATTACAACCAAAACGGTAGGAACCAATCTGTCGCCAAACAATCTTCTACTAGGACAACCTCAGCTTCAATTCCGTCGCTCATAAAGCTGTTAATTCATAACTACAAATTAGGTGTAAATCGAATTTCGTAATTCAAATATGGCACCTTCATTCTTCACCAATGTGAAACGATCACGATGAGATAAGACAGGTAAACGATTAACTTTTTGATGATTAAAATATTGCGGCGTCTTGTTGCCTTGTGTCGTTGACCTCATTCTCTAACAGACACCGCCAATCATTACGACGTTGAGTATTTTCAGTGAATGAACACTCATATGGTGGTGGGGCTGCAAATAAACAAAAATAGCCGACGTAAAAATAAACGTTCAATTCAATTTGATCGTATGATTCACACCTTGCTGCACAAGATACACTAATTGCTGATTAGAATCATCAACTCACCCTCATAAACAACCAGTTTGGCGGGTATGCTATCGACTGGACGGTACCTTTGAGCCACTTGTACAGCGGCTGGACATGCTGCAATGCAATTCGTTTGAA